ACTGCTGCAATCGTTTTTGAATTATTTTTAGTAAGATTTTACTTGCATGTTATATTAATGATATTGTTAGATAATTTCCACATCCTGTAGGATCACCTTTCTTTGGAATGGGTAAAAATATGGATCTCTTCTAGTCAGTTGGCCAGGTATCTGTCTTCCTAATCTCTTGACATAATTTAGTGAGTGCCTCTAACAGGGCGTCCGTTTGTTGAAACATCTCAATAGGTATTCTGTCAATTCCTGGAGCCTTGTTCTTCACCAATTCCTTCAGTGGAGCTTTGACTTCTTCCTTCAACACCATTGGTTCTTGGACATATGCCACCTCCTGAAATGGATGAACATCAACCAGTTCTTTCTGGTACAGTGATTCTGTGTATTCCTTCTATCTTTTTTTGATGTTTCCTGTATCATTCAATATTTTGCCCATAGAATCTTTCAATATTGCAACTCAAGGCTGAATTTTTTTTTCCTCAGTTCTTTCAGCTTGAGAAATGCTGAGTGTATTCTTCCTTTTTGGTTTTCTAACTCCAGGTCTTTGCACATTTCATTATAGTAATTGTCTTTGTCTGCTTGAGCTGCTCTTTGACATCTTCTATTTATCTCTTTTATCTTGTCATTTCTTCCATTTGCTTTAGTTACTCTTCGCTCAAGGGCAAGTTTCAGAGTCTCTTCTGACATCTGTTTTGGCCTTTTCTTCCTTTCTTGTGTTTTTAATGACCTCTTGTTTTCTTCATGGATGATGTTTTTGATGTCATTCCACAACTCTTCTGGTTTTCTGTCACTGGTGTCCAATGCATCAAATCTATTCTTTAAACAGTCTCTAAATTCAGGAGGGATATTATCAAGGTCACATCTTTGCTCCTGTGGACTTGTTTTAATTGTCTTCAACTTCAACTTGAATGTGCAGATGAGCAGTTGATGGTCTGTTCCACAATCAGCTCCTGGCCTTGTTTTGGCTGAACATATTAAATTTCTCCATTGCCTCTTGCCACAGATGTAGTCAGTCTGATTCCTGTGTTTTCCATCTGGTGAAGTCCACGTGTATAGTCATCGCTTATGTTGTTGAAAAAAGATATTTGCAGTGAATAAGTGGCTGGTCTTGCAAAATTCTATCACATGAACTCCAGCATTATTTCTATCACCAAGGCCATATTTTCCAACTATCGGTAACCCTTCTTTGTTTCCAACATTTCCATTCCAGTCACCAGTGATCAACACATCTTGATTACATGTTCAATTTCAGACTGCAGAAGTTGGTAGAAATCTTCAATTTCCTCATCTTTAGCTTTGGCAGTTGATGTGTAAATTTGAATAATGGTAGTAGTAATTGGTCTTCCTTGTAGGCATATGGATATTATCCTATCACTGCCAGCATTGTACTTCAGGACAGATCTTGAAACACTCATTGTGATGATGAATGCCACACCATTTCTCTTCAATTTGTCATTCCCAGTATAGTAGATCATATGGTTGTCTGATTCAAAATGGCCAAAACCAGTCCATTTCAGCTCACTAATGTCTAGGAGGGAGTTCTGGTAGCATAGTGCCTAAGGCATTTGACAGCTAACCAGAAGGCTGGTGGTTCAAATCCACCAGCCACTCCTCGGAAGGAACAATCTACTTCCGTAGTGATGCTGCCTCAGAAACCCAAGGAGGGGTCACTATGAGTCGGGTCAGACTCAACGGTACATAACAACAACAACAATGCCTAGGATATTGATCTTTATGCATTTCATTTTTGACAAATTCCAGTTTTCCTAGATTCATACTTCATACATGCTATGTTCCAGTTATTAATGGATGTTTGCATCTGTTTCTACTCATTTGAGTCATGCCACATCAGCCAAGGGAGGTCCTGAAAGCTTTACTCTATCCATATCATTAAGGTCTTCTCCACTATGAAGAGTCAGCTCTTCCCCAGTCAAATTTTGAGTGCCTTCCGACTTGATGGGCTCATCTTCTGGCACTGTATTGGACAATGTTTCAGGGCTACTCATAAAGTTGTCCAGTAATATATCAAACAGTGTTTCACTGCATTCATAAGGTTTTCACTGGCCAATTCTTTGAGAAGTGGATGGCGTCTTCCTTCTTCCGAGGTCTGTCTTAGCCTGGAAGCTCTGCTGAAATCTGTCCACCATGAGTAACCCTTCTGGCATTTTGCAACATGGTGGTATAGCCTCCAGCCTCACAGCAACAGATGAGCCACCACAGGATGACAAACTGACAGACAAGTCAGTTTATATTTATTTATCTAAGTTTATTTATATTTTCTTTAATTTCTCTCTAGAATTAAAGAAAACCATATGACTTGGCCATATGACTAGCTTTGGCCAAAGAAATGTGAGCAAAAGTGATATGTTTCCTCCAGAGGGACATTTTACAACACAGTGTGTGTTTTGCCATGTTCTTTCTTCCCTTTGTCAAGACTAGTCAACCTTGCAGTGCTTGAAATGGTGACTGTTCTATCTGCCTTGGCACCTACCTGCCTACCATCAACACATTGTAGCTACCCCAACCCCATTTATAGTTGACATGTAGTGAAATGATAAAATAAAGATTTGATGTTTATACCATGAAGATCTTGAGGTTTTATTTCCACAGCATTGCCTAGCCTACCCTGACTGATTCAAAAATTACTATCAAAAGCAGGAGTGAAAAATCTAAAATAGGTGACATAGCTTTTAAATGAAATAAACATGGAGTCATGTGGTTGACCAAATGGCATTAGCAGTCAAATGGACAATGCCTCTAACACTTGTCTTTACTGAAACTTAAACCTAGCTTTCCTATAAATCTGGCCAGTTTCATTGATCAATGAGATTCTGCTATCACTTCCATCCTTGTTGACCAATGAAATTCTGAAAGCATTTCAATAGTAAATTATATAAGCCAATCTGAAATAAGCTTCTCTTCTGTGGTTTTTCTCAACAAAAACCAATCTCTACTGATACTCAGTGGAGTGTCTTTCCACACGTGGTTTGATGCTGCTTGATTTGTGAATCTTCTTCGTGAATGAGCCTCATCTCATAGATTAATTTTGTTATTGACTCAGTTTATTTTGGCATAGTTTAGGGCTTGGGTGGAGGGCAATAGGATGAGTATTATCAGAGGCTAGAAAAATGTGATGCTTGAGAAGGAGTGGTGAAACATGAAGAAATTGTGGTCTGTGATAACTTGGAAGATAGGTGAGCTTAGTAAACTTGCAGCTCTAGAAAAGAGGTTAGAAAACAGAATGACTGAAGTATATGCAGCTGAAATTTAAAAGAAAGAGAGAGAGATGAGTTTGGAAAAAATCAGTCCTCATGCAAGAAGAAATGAAATGGAAAATGAAAAGCCACTAGAAAACTGTGAGCTGTTGAACCAGAGTCTTGTTTTTATAAAAATATGAGCATACTTGTCTGTCTATAAAAGAAGAAGGAGGAGAAGGGGAAGGCAGAGGAGGAGGAGGAGGAGAAGGAGAAGAGGAAGAAGAAATGGAATGGAATGGAGAGAACTAGAAATTCAGGAACTTGAGGCAACAACTCATCTGGTTAATCTAAGTGACAGAAGATTATTACAATTCAACCTGGAGAACAAGAGTAAATCAGTGTGACCTATCACACCCACTGTTTAAGGATTAAGGTTGGCATACAGTAAATTCTTTTGGTTGGACAAAACAGCTCAGAGGGTGTGACTCTCCCACTGAACTTGCTTGCAGCCTAGAGTAGCCTGCAATCAGGCTTTGAAAGACTCACTCTGGTCTCAGGACCGGAGCTGTGGGTATGGCTTTTGGCACCAGAAGATTCAATAGATAAGAAGCCAATTAAGTTTTTGAAAATGTTCTACTGACCGAAAAAGCACAACCAAACCAAACTCACTGCCATCAAGTCAGATTCAACTCATAGAGACCCCTCCTTGGGTTTCTGAGGTGGTATCTCTACGGAAGTAGATTGTCCAACCTGCCTTCTGAGGAGTGGCTGGTGGGTTTGAACCACCAGCCTTCTGGTTAACACTCAAATGCCTTAGGCACTATGCCACCAGAGCTCCCAAAAAAGCACAAGCCTATCCTAAAAAAGGTTTGGAACTTTCAGCCCCAACCATCTATCTATGTGCATATTTGGGACTTTGCCCTCTTTCCTTTTCTTTATTCTGTTTGGTCACATCTGAAGAGGAATTAGAATATACACCTGCTTTGAGGGCTGAAGGAGCTCTGGTAGTGTAGTGCCTAAGGCATTTGACTGCTAACCAGAAGGGCAGCGGTTCAAACCCATCAGCCACTCATCAGAAGGAAGGTAGGGCAATCTACTTCCAGAGTGATACTGCCTCGGAAACCCAAGGAGGGGTCTCTATGAGTCGGATCTGACTCGACAGCAGTGAGTTAGGGGCTGAGATGCTCTCTTAGCCAGTGTCCTGCCTTTTTCTTTTTGCCTTGCCTCTGCATGACCCCCAAAGGCACCTCCATAGAAAGTTGAAAAGTACTGATTTGATCCCTATAGATTCTCATTGTATAGATAGGAAACAGAAGCCCAGAAAGAAAGTGAAAAAAAGTTGCTGTCAAATCAATTCTGCCTCATGGTGAACCAGAGTGTTATAGAACATAACTGCTCCATAGGGTTTTCAAGGCTATGACCTTTTGGAAGCAGACTGCCAGGCCTTTCTTCTGAGGCACCTCTGGTCATGTTTAAACTGTCAACCTTTTGGTTAGTAGTCAATCACTTAAAAGTTTGCACTACCCAGGGACTTCTGCAGCCCAATAGGTAACATATTGACACCAGATCTGGGACACAAATTCAGAACCCTGACTCAGAATCTGGCACACTGTGTCTGTGTTCAAGCCTCTTCAGCTATTTGAGCATCCTGGGTGGTTCTTTCCACCATCCTGCACCGTGCCACCATACTGCTCTCTGCCTCTAATCAAATGTGTGACCCTTTTGGATTTGGTTAGTGTTGATTTTAGGATGCATATTTTATAGACATCAATAACTTGCCTGCAACTGTACACACTTTGAGATGGAACTTACGGGATGACTTTGATGTCTTCTTTGCCATGCAGGATGTAGTCAATGACCTTGTAAAAATTGATTTCCTAGGCAAAAGAGAGAAAATTATATACCTTAAAAGCCAGAGACAGAACCTCAGCAGTAATGTATCTATGAAACATGCCTTATTCTTTCTTTCTTTTTTTTTTTAATTGTGATTTGGGTGAAAGCGTACAGAGCATATTCATTTTACATACAGAAATTCATACACATTTTGTTTCGTGACATTGACTATAATTGCCCACAGTGTAACAGCTCTCTTTCCACTTCCTCCTTGTAGTGTCCCTCTTCCCTGTGCCTTTTTTCCTATACATTCCTGCCCCGTGAGCTGTCTCCTTGTGCAAATACTGTCCTTCTACTGTCCCATGATTGATTATTCAAAGGAGTGTATCTACCTGATATGAATGTTCACCCTATATGCCTGTCTATTGTTTAGCAGGAAGTCACGGAAGTGAGTTCAATTCCAGGCCTGAAGGGTGACTAGAGGCCGTGTTCTCAGGGGTTTCACCAGGCTCTATCAGACCAGTAAGCCTGATCATTTTTTTTATGATATCAGGTTTTGTTCCACATTGTTCTCCCACTCTATCCAGGATCTCCTGCACTGATCCCTTTCTGAGTGGTTGACAGTGGTAGCCAGCACCATCTAGTTCTTCTGGTCTCATCAGTCATGTAGGCTGAGGTTCACATGGTTCATTTGTCCCCTGGACCAATTGTTATCCATAAAACAGGTCTTGTTCTTAACCATATGCCTTGTGGTTTTCGGAAAGCACCAAACCTAACCCAACTCCTTCTGCAATGACTGTCCTCAGCTGACTCTCAGGACTCAGGGCTCTCCTCCTTGGAACCATCTCACAGTGCTAGGCAGGGGCTGGGATTTGGGGCTGGAAAGATAGATGGGGAGTTTTCCAAAGGGATCTATAAGGAGAAAGAGATAAATAGTACTAAAGAATAGGGAGAGGGGTAGGAGGAAAGAAGCCTCTCATCACATTTAGAACCATGGTCAATCCAGCCATCTCCCAGGTATGGCTCACCTCCATGGTCATGACCTCCTTTCTTCTTCACCTTACCTCTCAGTTGCTCCTTGATGAGTCATTTCTTCTAGGCCTACCTTCCCAATCATGGCTGATGCCTCCAAATTAACTTTCTACCTCTTCCATCCTTCTCAACTCCCTGCATCATTAAAACTCTCATTCTCTTAAAGTTTTTGTTTTTGTTTCCCCAGTTGTTGTTAAATCAATTCCAACTCATAGACACCCAGTGTGCATCAGAGTAGAACTGCTCTTCATAGGGTTTCCAATGGCTATGACTTTCTGGAAGCAGATCACCAGATCTTTCTTCCAAGGCACTTCTGGGTGGGTTTAAACTGCCAAATTTTCTTGGTTAGTAGTTGAGCACTCACCTATTTGAGCTACCCAAGCAGATATGTTTGATTACTTTACTCCCTAGCACACAGTTGGGTAATGGCAGGTGATTCCTTTTCCCTAGCTCTCCAGGGAAAATTCAATGATCTTACCAGATCCTCTCAGTGGCCAAACATGATGGGCAGGTTAGTAACCATTTTTAAATGGGAGAACTTAGACCCAGAGGAAGGAAAAGACTCATTATAGCCAGACAATGAACCAAAACCAGAACCTAAGCTCTTAACTTCGAGCTCAGTGCTCTTTCTGCTCTGTCACTCACGACTAATAACTTAAAATGTTGTTCAGTATCTGAGTCATTAGCCTAAAACCGGGCTACTTAAAGTGTGGTCCCTGGGCTGGTGCCATTCTGTAAAGTATTTATCAGTCCATGATGACAAAAACAGAAATTGAGAGTTAGTGTTTAGAAACTTTTATAACAATGAGAGTGAGTTAAATTATGCCTATTGAATCTAATAATACTTTTAAAAAATGAGACTCAGATTTTGGTGGCATAGTGCCTAAGGCACTTGACTGCTAACCAGAAGTCTGGCAGTTTAAATCCACCAGCCACTTCTTGGAAGGAAGATTGGGCAATCTACTTCCATTGTGATATTGCCTTGGGAACCCAAGGAGGGGTCCCTATGAGTCAGATCTGACTAGACAGCAGTGAGTTTGGTTTGGTTTATATATATGTGTGTGTTGTTGTCGTTATGTGCCATCGAGTCAGACCCAACTCATGGCGACCCCTCCTTGGGTTTCTGAGGTGGTATCACTATGGAAGTAGATTGCCCAAACTTCCTTCTGAGGAGTGGCTGGTGGGTTTGAACCACCAGCCTTCTGGTTAGCAGTCAAGTGCGTTAGGCACTATGCTATCAGAGTTTATATATATATTTGTGGTAAATATATAGATAACAAAACATTTGCCATTTCTACAATTTTAACATGTACAGTGCATATTTTAACATAGACATTAACTGTGTTCATCATGTTATTCTAACTCATTGAGACTCCATGTATACAGAGCAATAATATGTATTCTTTTTTCTTTTTGAATTTTATCCTTAATTCTACACATAATCATAGATTTGTTCTCATTTTTGAAACTTCAAGGAAGTAGTAATATATGTTCAATCTAGTAATACATATTTTTAATATATATTGAACTGCTAGTAATATATCTTCTAATCATAGTTTGAAAGTATTGAAAAAATGGATTGAAAATTTTAAAAATTTTTAAAATTTTAAAAATCTGTTCCTTTACTACAGGTGTTTTAAGAAGCATGTCTCTAGAGATTTAAATGCTGTACCTGTGTCCCACCCCAAGCCTCCTGACTCAGAATTTGAACAAAGAAGAATTCCCTGATCCAACCAAGTCTATCAGAGAGCCCTTTGGTTGACAGGTGCTTCTCCAAATTCATGAGGGACAGGCTCTGCTCCTCACAGCCCAGCAACTGGCAGCACCAGTGACTAGATGCTTCCAGGTGGCACACTCTGGCTAAACAGAAGGCAGAGGATGGAGCTGTTCCAATGGTGTAGGCTGCCTTGGGGACTGGCAGCAGGAAGCATCCAGTGGGAAGATTAGTTGAGTCCTGCAGCACTTCATAAATGGACCTTAAAAAAACTATCCATAGAGTGAAAAGAGTTGTGTTTTAGTCTCAGTTCTTCTACTTGTCCTCTCTGCGTGTTTGTTGTTGTTTAAGTAGCAGAACCCTTTTCCCAAACAAAGCATGATATCTAACCATATAAAGCAGATAAAAATGTTGTTGTTCAAACTCAACTCACTGCCCTCAAGTCGAATCTGACTGTGAGTCGACCCTTCCTTGGGTTTCCGAGGGAGTAACACTATGGAAGTAGATTGTCCAGTCTTCCTTCCGAGGAGTGGCTGGTGAGTTTGAACCACCAGCCTTCTGGTTAGCAGTCAAATGCCTTAGGCACTACACCTCCAGAGCTCCTAGATGCCTTCAAATTTGTTCCTACTCATAGTAACCCTAGGAACAATAAAATGAAACATTGCCCAGTCCTGCATCCTACTCACAATCGTTGCTTTGTTTGAGCCCATTGCTGCAGCCACTGTGTCAATCCATCTCTCCATCTCATTGGGAGATTCTTTGTCAAGCATGATGTCCTTCTCAAGGGACTGGACCATACCTAATAACACGTCCAAAGTATGTGAGACAAAGTCTTGCCATCCTAGCTTCCAAGGATCACCCTGGCTGTGCTTACAAGACAGATTTGTTTGTTATGCCTGTGTGTTGTATATTCAATATCCTTTGTCAACACTATATGCAAATGAATCAATTCTTCTGAGGCTTTCTTTATACATTGTCCAGCTTTCACATGCATACAAGGTGATTTAAAATACCATAGTGTGTTAGATTGGCTTCTCCAGAGAAACACAAAAACCAGCAAGTATATATATATTTATAGAGAGAGAGAGAGAGAAATTTATCTTAGGAAAATAGCTCACAAGCGTATAGAAGCCGACAAGTCCAAGTCTCTGGAGGAAAATGGACTGGCGACAGCCTTAGCTTCCGTGAGCGCAGGGGGCCAAGAGATTCAAAGCTGGCAGGCAGTGCGCTAGTTGTTGGCTCCAACAAAAGGCGGCTCCAAGATCTCCAGGTCGAGCGATGGGCTGCTCCCTCACAGAAGTTTGTAGTCCACACACCAGGATTCCAATCCCTCAAAGAATGTGGCTCTTCCCAGGATGTCCCTGGATATCTTGGAAGCAGACCACACCCCTAGGGAAACTCCCCTTGGGCAGACTG